GCATGCCACTGCACTCCAGCCTGGGTGACAGAGTGAGACTCCTACTCAAAAAACAAAACAAAAACTTCTACGAATGAGGTATTTACCCTTTTTAGCCTGCCTTCTGCCTATATTTTCAACCTTTTCTGCTACTTACTGCATTGCTAGCATCCTAATCTGCAATCATTCTAAACTACTTCTAGTTTCCTTATATTAAATACTGATATTTCACGTTTCTGATTGTCCATGTGATCCCATCTACTTGAAATACTATTTACTTATTTTTGACAACTCAGCTAAAAAATCGCCCACTGTGTGAGATCTGCCCCAAGCAGCCCCTCCTCACCGTAGGTTGATCTCTCTTTCCTTTGTGCCATAACCCTACTCTGGATATGCTGCTATTTAAGCACTTTTCACACTACACTACAATTACTTTTTTTCTTTTGGTCAGAGTCTCATTCTGTCACCCAGGCTGGAGTGCAGTGGCATACTCACCGCCACCACAGACTCGGCCTGCTGGGCTCAGGTGATCCTTCCACCTCAGCCTTCCAAGTAGCTGGAATAACAGGTACATGCTACCACATCAGTTAATTTTTTTAATTTATTGTAGAGACGAGGTCTCATCATGTTGCCCAGGCTGGTCTTGAACTCCTGGGTGTAAGCAATCCTCTCGCCTCAGCCTCCCAAAGTGCTGGGATTATAGGCATGAGCTACCACACCTGGCCTACAATTACTTTTTAATCTGTTTCTTCTACTAGATTGGAAATTCCTTGAAACATCATATGGTTTTTTTCCATTATATTTGCATAATCTTCCACGGTATGTGACACAGGCAATAGTTAATTCATGTTTATTGAAAAAGTACATAGATAAAAATGAACACCAAGTTAACAAGCATATGTACTAAGAATGTCCACTTTATGAAAAGAATATGTATATTACAAAAATAAAAGTATTCGTTTTAAGAAGGACTAGTTACAGAGCGCTTTAAGATAGTATACTTCCCTAGAACACTTTATGTGGGATTTTAAAAATTTAGGCTTCTACTTCTAGCCATGCTCAAGTTCTTGACTTGCCTTCTCACTGTAAATTAGTAGAAAACTAGATAAAATGTATGAAATAGTTATCAGAGAGTAGACTACATACAGTGAAAAACTGTTCTCTCAGACAAAGAGGGGAAAATGAGATAAGCCCTATGGTTACTCAGGCTTACTGCCTAGACACTTTCTACACCATAGCACAAGGATGGGGCACTCTTGTGAAGCAAGATGGTCTCAATGAGTTGGGAGACAGAGACCAGCGTTTAGAGGCTGAGGTGGCTTTAATTTGGAGGCAGAGTTCTGAAGCTGAGGGAAGCTATGCAGAATACACATTATTATTTTTTTTCAATGTTTTCAAAGTTTATTTAGAAAGTAAATTAGAGAGAGAGCGAGGAGATTCAACTCCCCGAGGTAGGGGAAGGGGTCCTATGTTATTTTCAATGGGACATGAAATATTCACCAAGATAGACAATGCACTTGGCCAAAAAACAAGTATTAATATCTTTTTTAGAATGAAAGTCTTGCCTAGAGTGTCCCTTGACCACAGCCAAATTAAATTTGCAATCATCAACAGAAAGATATTTGGAAAATTCTCAAATATTTAGAAATTAAACAACATACTTCTAATGGGTCTCACTCCATATCCATACCCATGGGTCAAAGAAAATCTCACAAGAGAAATTTTAAAATATTTTGAACTGAATGAAAATGAAAACAGTGCATATCATAACTTGTGGGATGCAATGAAAGCAGTGCTAGCTGGGCTCAGTGGCTCAGCCTGTAATCCTGCACCTTTGGGAGGCTGAGGTGAGTGAATTGCCTGAGCCCGCGGGTTCGAGACCTGCCTGGGCAACTTGGTGAGACCTCATCTCTACAAAAATCAAAAATCAGTCGGGCATGGTAGCGTGTGCCTGTAGTTCCAGCTACTTGGAAGGCTGAGGCGGAAGGATCGCCGGAGCCCAGCAGGTCGACGCTGCGGTGGCTGGGAGTGGCCACTGCACTCCAGTCTGGGTGACAGAGCGAGACTCCAACTCAAAAAAAAAAAAAAAAAGAAAGCAATACTTAGAGGAAATTTTATAGCTTTATATGCTTACATTAGAAAAGAAAAAAGGCAGATAATCTAAGTTTAGATCTTCAGTAGCTAGAAGAAGAAACGCAAATTAAACCCAGTAAGCAAAGTAAGGAAATAAGAAAGTTAATAACAAAAGCAAGTGAAATAGCAAATGAATAAACATGAGAGAGAAATCAATGAAACCAAAACCTGGTTCTTTGAAAAGACCAATAAAACTGAAAAGCTTCTAACTAAACTGATCGAGACAACAAAGAGAGAGAGAGAGAAGATACCTATTACCAACATCAAGAATGACAGAAGGATATCAATACAGATCCTGGAGGAATATAATAACAGAATAGTATGAGCAACTCTTAGTCAATAAATTTGAGTTTATGAAAAGGACAAGCTCCTTGAAAGATAAACAAGTACCCAAACAGACTGTGTTAGGGGTCCCCAAGACAGCCCCAGGATCAGTGAGCCATTGAAAACTCACAGGACTCAATAAATACTTGCCCTCATGGCTAAAATGTATTAAAGAGAAAGAACAGAAAGCAAAACAGGCAAAGGAAAAGGCACATTAGTTAAGTCTGGAGGAAACCAGGTACAAGCTTCCAAGGGTCATCTCCTTAGTGGAGTCACATGGGGCAAGCTTATCTCCTACAGCAACATATGTGAATTGTTGTCTACTGGGGAAGCTCATCAGACTCAGGGCCCAAGGTTTTTGAGGGAACTGTTCATGCAGGTACCCTCTGCCTAGCATATGCCAAAACTCTAGACTACCAAAAAGAAAGCAGATTTCAGAGTAAACCACACTGCCTGTACTAACAGTTTAGGCAGTGAGCCACTCTTGTCAGGAGACAGTGAGAATGTTCCCAAAATCCAAGTTTCCAGGCATGAGCCAAAGGGCCGACCTTACAATCAGGGTCTTCTAATGATACAGCATTCACAGGTCCACTATATTAACTCTTTCCTGCATATTAATACAAGAAAAAAATTGAGAATCTGAATAGCCCTGTAAATAATGTAAATACTGAATTCATTACTGAAAATATTCTCACAAAGAAAAAGTCTAGATATCTTTACTGCTGAATTCTACCTAACATTTAATGAAAAAAATCATACCAATTCTACACATTCCAACTCAGTTTATGAAGTCAGTATTACTCTTGACACAAAATCCAGACCTAAGATTACAAAAAAAGAGAGAACAACAAAACTTACAGATCAGCATTTCTCATCAATGCAAAGTCCTTAACAAAGCATTAGCAATTCAAATCCAGTCATATATTAAAAAGGATAATACACTATGACCAACTGAAGTTCATCCAGGAATGCAAGGTTATTTTAACATTTGGAAATCAATTAATGTAATTAATATTAACAGAATACAGGAAAAAACTGATCATCTTAATAGACACAGAAAAGACATCTGAAAAAATTAAATACATATTTGTGATAAAAATTCATTCATGATAAGCTCAGAAAACTAGGCATAGAAGGAACTATCTCAACGTGATAAAAAGTAGAAACAAAAAACCTACAGCTAACATAATATGAAATGGTGTAAGAATAAATACTCTCCAAGTTGGGAAGCAAGGCAAGCATATCCACTCTCACAACTGTTATTTAACATACATAGTATTAGAGAGGCCTCACTAATATAGCAAGTCAAGAAACAGAAATAAAATGCATAAAAAGTTTTATAAAGAAAGAAGTAAAACTGTCTTAAATTTGCAGACAACGTGATTATTTATATGGAAACCCCCAACTACTATAACAATAAGTTAATTTAAAAATAGGGTCAATGTACAAAAATCAACTGCACTTCTAAGCTGGGTGTGGTAGTGCATGCCTGCAATCCCAGCTAGTAGGAGGCTGAGGTGGGAGGATCATTTGAGTCCAGTCTGGAAAACCTAGTAAGACTGTGTCTCAAAAAAACTGTACTTCTCTATATAAGCAATGAACAATTATAAAAATAAATTTTCAAAATACTGTTTACAATAGGATCCCAAAACATGAAATAGGCATAAATTTAACCAAAAACTTCCAAGGCCTATACAATAAAAACTACAAAACATTTTTGAGAGAGAGATAATTTAAAATATCCAAGTAAACGGAAAGCTATGTCATGTTCATGAGCTGGAAGACTTAATCCCAATAAAAATTCCATAGACTTATAAAACAGAAACTGACAAACTAATTCTAAAAGTGAAAGAACCCAGAATAGCAAAAACCATTTTTGAAAAAGAACAATATTGAAGGACTTCAGCTACACTTTATGATTTCTCAGAAAACTACACTAATAAAGATTGTGTGGTATTGGCTTAAATACAAACATATAATCAATGGATCATAATAAAGAGTTCAGAAACAGACTCAACTGATTTTCAAAGAATGTATAAAGGTACAATGGGAGAGAGAATAGTCTTTTCAACAGATATTTGTGTTGGAACAACTAGAAATCCATATCCAAAAAATGACCCTTGATTCTTAGGTCATACAAAAATATATTACAGACCACATGCTTATACTCATTTTCTTAAAGTAGAAAAACATACATTATAAAACAGGGAGAAAATCATCAGTGTTAGTTTTTTGTTTTTGTTTTTTGAGTTGGAGTCTCACTATCACTCAGACTAGAGTGCAGTGGCCGCTTCTGGCCACTGCAACCTCAACCTGCTGGGCTCCGGTGATCTTTCCGCCTCAGCCTTCCAAGTACCTGGAACTACAGGCGCAGGCTACCACGCCCCGCTAATTTTTTGATTTATTGTAGAGATGAGGTCTCGCCAAGTTGCCCAGGCGGGTCTCGAACCCGCGGACTCAGGCAAACCACTCACCTCAGCCTCCCAAAGGCGCGGGATTACAGGCTGAGCCACCGGCTGCTAGTTTTAATTTAACAGTTTGTGAGAGACATACATGAATTTTACCTGAAACTTGTCTTCAAACTTTTTCTGACTGCATAATTTGTTGTAATGTTCTTGTAACTTTATATGAGTTTCTTTAAGTGATGATAATTCATTTTTGATCTCATTAAATTCTCCATTAAGTTTTTCAACCTATCATAAAATTTAACAAAATAAGCAGATATATAAATATATCTGAAAATACTTCATTAACACAACATCCAGGAAATAGTAAAATAATAAGCACAATCACAAAGTAATTACTAAGAGCTACTGTTTATTGAGTTGGTCCGAGTATTTAATAAACATAATTGCATACTTGTCAAAATCCTTTGAGGTATTATTATGCCCAATTAAATGTGAGGCTCACAGAAGTAAAGTAATTTGCCCAGATCATGCAGCTGTAAAATGGCAGTCAGGACTGAATTAAACTATCTCTTGTTACAAATGAAACTTTATGAATTTATATTTAATCAAAAAAATATTCTATATTCTATAAAATGTACACCTTTGTTGCTTTCTTAAAGTTTTCTTTTTCTGAGTTGGAGTCTCACTCTGTTGCCTAGGCTGGAGTGCAATGGCACCATCTCAGTTCACCACAGCCTTGATCTCCTGGGTTGAGGTGATCCTTCCACCTCAGCCTCCCAAGTAGCTGGGACTACAGGCATGCACCACCACGCCCAGCTAATTTTTTTGAATTTTTGTAGAGACAAGATCTCAATACATTGCTCAGGCTGGTCTCAAATAATCCTTCCACTTTGGCCTCCCAAAGTGCTGGGATTGCAGGTGTGAGCCTCTGTGCCTGGCCTTAAAGTTTGATTTTCTTTGTTGCAAGTTGAACATACAGATTTGAACTCAACTGGGATGAGTACTGACCACTAAGTGGTATCACTATGTAAATGATATACATATAGTGATGTACATCTACATATAGTGATATAGATGTAAATATCAGCTGATATAGATGTATCAGCTATCTATAAGCTAGACTTTCAGCTATCTATAAGCTAGACTTTCACTGCCTATACAATTTCATAATCTTTTCTTGGGGGGAGGAGTATTCTCATAGAAGCCTAAAATATGATACAAGATAAGTTGCAATGAGGAGAAAAATATCCTTTTGTCATGGAAAATTATAAAAGTTTCTCTTGAGCAATTTAAAACTCCTACCACAAATCCTAATATATAATATTTCTTATTAGAAATGTTATGATTAATATTTCTAATATTTTAATAACATCCCTCAGTATAGAGTCCAGCAAATGTAAACTCACATTAGTTTCCCTTCATCTCATCTATTTTTAACCATCTTTTAATCTGTCTCTGCAAGATTTCTTTTCCAAGGCTAAACTCTCCCATCCCCCCATCCCCTTAGTCCTAGCTGTAGCAATTTTCTCTTTCCTCCTGCCTTCTCAATCTCTTGTGCTGCATCTGAATCTTCTCCTCAGCCCACAAATATGCTCTACTCACATTCCTAATAGTCCACACTTGCTACTTGCAAATTTTAAGTCCCATTGCTCCTTAACAGCCTGACTTCTGCCCTCACTGTGTTAGTGTTTTCTTAAATATCATCCGCAAATTAGCAAAAGGTTTTCTTTCAGTTCTCAAGCCACTTAATAGCTCTGTAGCATTTGACTATGTTGACTACTCTTTTTTTTTTTAAGGTGAGAAAGTAGGATTTATTGAGAAGGGAGAAAAGCTTCCACAGCAGGAGAGGACCTGAAAGAGTTGCCCAACTACTCTTTATTGTTTTTTTAAGCCATTTTGATCCAATCTCAGTAGTCATATTACTGTTGTCCTACCCTCAAGTATGATGAAAAATTTACAGATAGAAATACAGATAAAGAGTAAATCTAACCTCCCACACAAGAAAACGCTTATAGATCCAAAGTGACTTTTTCTTACTCATCTATATTCTGTTTAGTACTAAAGCATAAGTAAAATTACTATAGAATCTAAAATTCTTAAGACTAAACCAATTTTATCCAAACTTATAAAATGAGGTCTCAACAATGAAACTGCTTATTTTGCTTTTCTTTTTTTTCCTTGAGAGAGGGGCATGATTGTACTTTCTCTTGAAAATAAATGTTTAATTTTCTTAACTCAACTGATCTTGTTTTCTTGCATGCTTGGCATATTAAGTTTACATTTCCTTTTCACTTATAGTCTTCCTTATCCTGACAGCACCATTTCCATGGTCTTCTAAACACGGGATTAAAAAAAGGCATAGGGATGCCAAGTAGATCAACTAAAGCTAAAATGAATATTACTATGCTTATTGCTTAATGATAAAATTTACTAGTAAGAGAGATTATTAAGCATTTTTTAAATTAAATTCAAAATAGTTTTCTTACATTAAGGCTTACAGAAACCATCAGTGAAGACTTGACCTCTCTAAACTATAAATTAAGAAAAATATTAGCTTCAAATAAATCGAATCAAGAGTTACTTATGTAATAATTTAAATTAAATTAAATCATCTACAGAAAGTATTATCAAGCTGGTATTTAGGTATACATTATATTGATATTATATATTCATATAATATGGTATAACTAATATAACAGTATAAAATACAGTTAGACTTTTCCAAAGCTATACTTTATAGCTTCATAAACAGTGACTTTCTACTGTGTTGACTCTTTAAGAAGAATTAAAATGAAAATGAAATCAAATGAAATGAAAACTGATATTAAAATAGAACAACTTTGGAGTTTACCAATCTTTAAAGTAAAACTTTAAGGCCGGGTACGGTGGCACACGCCTGTCGTCCCAGCTACTTGGAAGGCTGAGGTGGAAGATGCCTGAGCCCAGCAGGTAAACCCTGCAGTGCCTGTGAGCATGCTACTATACTCCAGCCTGGGCGACAGAGTGAGACTTCAACTAAAAAAAATTTAAAAGTAAAACTTTATATTTCACAACTTGAATTTATATCATTTTACACTATTATCTACTTTGCTGAAATTAAATACAGTAGAAATAAACAAATGTAGTTTAAATAAATAGTCATGTTTATAACATATCAACTCTTATGTTAAAATATTAATACTATAGAACTCCATGACTGCATGCATGTTCTAAACATGGTTCTAACATAGCTCGACAAAATTGTGGAGGAAAGCAAAATAGATCAGTTAATAACAGTAGATATATAATTCTTTATTTCAATCAATTACTAAAGTATGCAGTGGCTTTGTGAAAAAGTAAATTAATTTTTCTTTGTCACATATGGGAGATCACTCAAATTATGCACATATATAAGCATATACGTATACACACACATACACATGTATTTGTGTGGTCTTCCATGCATAAAAACATTACAGGAAATTTTATTAAACTTTGTATTTAAAAAGCATTCATCCTTTTTGGAAATATGAGTGTAAGAAAAAGTGTGTCTGATTTTATTCCTGTATTATTTTTGCAATATTTTCTTAGCATTTAATAGTTATTTTAAATGTCTACAACTATTTTTAAAATTTTAATTTTTAATAAACCTACATGTCTTTTCCAAGTTCCTAGTGCTTTCTCATGCTCATTTTGAAGATTAAGAAACTTTTCTTCATTTTCTTTTACCTTCTCCCTTTGCAGCTCATTATCTCTCTCAAGGGTCTGCAATAAAATTAATTATCCAAAAAATAATCAATACCACATTAATGAATTTTGATGTGTTTTATGTTGCTTGGACCTTTGCTTCCAACATGCTGAAAGTGCCGTACAGATCAGTGATAATGTGCTATCTCAACAATAATTTTCATAAATTAACAGAAAGGTGCTTATAGTTTAGCTAACAGGAAATAGGGGGAGGTTATGATAAAGAAATGGCTATAAAAGGGTATAAAAACATTGCCATTATTCAGTTTCACTGCATAAGTTTTAATGTGCTGAAAAGTAATATAAAGTACAGCCCTGAAAAGAGGAAATGTAGCACAATCCAGCCTAAGCTTACTAAAGAAATTTAACTACCACAGAACATTTTTTCCATTATCTGTTTATTTTAGAAACTAACTGGCTAGAAAACCCTTAAATACAATTTTAATTTCAAATTAACATTTTTAAGCATAACAAATATTTACCATATTAACTTAATAACTTTATTGAGTTAACATCACAGAATCACCACCTCACTACCCCTCTCCCAAAATAAACTTGTAAGAGTAAAAATACTACCGAGTGTTTTCTAAGACAAAGGTTTTAAAGCTATTAAATCAGTGTCATCAATGTTATTAGGTTTCTCCAATGTCTGCTGATAATCCAACTAAACTTATCTAAGAAAATAAAGATAAATAATAAGAACTCTCACCTACATGTCTAATACACCCAGAATCTTTAAGTTCATTTGTTTATCATTAGGAAAGCTATGTATACTCAGGGTAAGAATTTTAAGTACACAAAAGGATACAAAAAAGGAAAAAAAGTTATTCTCTATCAGTTCTCCCCAGAAGTGGTTACTCTGGCAGTTTCTTGTGTATGTGTATATAAGTATACAGTATATAAAATATATTTTTTAAACACAGATGAGACCATATCATACACTATTCTATAATCTATTTTTTAAAGTCTTATTTACTTTCCATATTATGATATATAAACCCATCTCATCTAAAAGGCTCATAGTACATTTATTTATAGAGTTCCCAATTATATCTAGAATATCACTATGCAAAGACATAATTATACAAAATTAAGGCAACCCACATAATAGGCATTTTACAATTTTGAGGAGAGTTTCCTCTTCTTCATAAGGAGCCATGTACTTTGAGAGCACCCAATGAATACCTACTTTGATTGCCTCCATTATGGGATAATGTAGATACTTTTATAACAGTAAAATTTCCTTAATGTATAGGTATATGTACAGTCATATGTTACTCCACATCTGTCCCTCTGGAAGGTCTTCAGGGGCAGTAACACCCATGAAACTCTCATCCCCTATGATAACAGTGACTTCTAGAATACCTCCTGAAGGAACTACCTGGGACTATTTTACAGTTAACTCTTTTTTCTAATAAGTAGGAGTACACTCTAAAATAACAATTAAAAAGTATGGTTTAGTAAATATATAAACTAGTAACGTGGTCATTTTTATCAAGTATTATGTACTGTACATAATTGTATTGTGCTATACTTTGATATAACTGGCAGTGCAGTAGGTTTGTTTACACCAGCATCACCACAAACGTGAGTAATGCGTTGTGCTATGATGTTATGATGGCTGCCATGCAGGTAATAGGAATTTTTAGCTCCATTATACTCCCATGAGACCACCATCACAGATGTGGTCCATCATGACCAAAACATTGTTATGTGGTCCATGACTGTATTACTAGAACAGTTTCTAAATATTTACAGTGGTATATAATAGGTGCTTAGAACCTTAACATTCTAACAAATATTCTACATATGAATGTAAGAAAAAATGTGTCTGATTTTATTCCTGATAACATGACGTATCTTCTCAAATCCAAGTTTAGAGAAGATACAGGAAAATAAACCACAGTCTCTGTCTTAGTAATACTAAATGACCAAAAATATCATGCTCTTAAAACAGTGTACTAAATATGTGAACCATTTTCTTTTTTTCTTTTTTTTTGAGTTGGAGTCTCACTCTGTCACCCAGACTGGAGTGCAGGGCTGCTCCC